CCTCTGTCTGTCCGTCTGTGTCATCAATGCTAATGTGAAAAGAAGATGTCAGCAGCGGCGTTACAGAAGCAATATCTGCTAGCGCTCATAATTGGATGGGTAGAGTTAGTTAACTGTCCATCAAAACACCTTAAAAAGAGGGGGTGGACTAAAACGCTGTGATTTAGTTAATTCCTTCCCACTATCATAATCCTCATAGCCATGGAGAGGACCAAGACATCTTGCCTGGTCAACCAGGCCAACAATGCCCCTAGCGACTCCCTTTTCAGAAGCATAGACCAGTATCGGATAACAAAGACCTCAACGACTCCCCATTCCTAAGGGGCAGACCTGTTCTTTCGGTTCAATTTGCATGTTTTCTAAGCCAAATAAAGGGCTACTCTATAAAGCTGGGAAATCAATGCTAATTCTGACATTTTGCATTGAAAAAGCTTCCTGGATGGGAAACGAAAACTATTCAAACTTGGACAACATAGTCCAGTGGTTTGTTTTTTAGCTTTTTTGGAAAACGTCTGGATTAATAAATGTTATATGTCTATAACCTGAATAAATCTATGTTATATTTGTTCCTTGTTGTCAACTCATATGTACATGTTAAAGCAGATGTTTCATCTGTGAGAGAGTTCTGGGATCCCAGGTCACACATTTTTCGCTACAGTCCAAGTACAAATCATGAATCAAAGATTTTAAAGTACAAATCACAAACTTCTAAGAACATATCACAGTTTTATAGTAGCCTAGTAAACTAGCCCCACCCCGCCAGCGGCCAAAATTATTCTAGCCTGCGAGTGGTCTAGCTTCGATCAATGCCCCAGGCCCTAGAACTGACGGGCAAATCACAACGCAGAGATGTCTTTTGAATTTTTGGATGCAAAGAGGGCGAGGTATTGAGGACGTGACGACAAAGCTGTGCTGGAGAACAACAAGGAAGTTAGAAACAAATATTGAAACTTTCTTGTTTGACTCAGCTTTAGAATCAGTTTAGGAAGGATTAGACTTGGGGTTTTCGTTGAAACATTAGCAGGAAGAGGCTCTACGCTAATTCATTTTTAAGGATGTATTCGCCGTTATACCGACAGGCTGTTTGTTTACACTCACAGTCAGTTGCTCACGTCACAGTCAGTTGCGCTAATTGGTCAGAGCATTGCCAATAGGCACAGACATGGTTTAAAAGACAACGGGTTGTTCTCATCAACAATCTTCATCATTAATCGAGGCCAGACTAAATTACACATTTAATCTCACATTTATTTTGGGTTATCAGGCTAGTTTTATAGGTAAAAGTGTCCAATTTACGAGTATAAATCTACAACCACTTATGAAGCTGTTACACTCCTTACCAACAAACAGCCAAACTTCATTCGAATTTCAAACTGCACATAAGTTGAAAAGAGGCATGACTGCCACCAACTGGTAAGGAGGGTAACAGCTTCATTTGGTTATACATTTTTATTTTTACTTACAAATATGAGATGTTTTTTTTTTTTGTAAATTTGTCATTTGTACTTGTATTGCTGCAAAGTTTTAACTTTGTCAGAGAGCTTGGAGAGCGCAGATCTCCGGTAATTGTGAATTACTTCTCATTTAAATGAATTGTTCCTTGGCATGAGTCACATCTCTGATAAACAAATTTCCATAAAATCCATTCATAAATTTTCAATTGATCCTGCTAATAAACCAACAACGTTCCCTTTTCTGGTGTTTTTGTCTTCAATAAAATACCTCTGGTCTTTTTGAGTCCGATGCTATGTCTGTCAATAGTCATTGCTGCCACCCTCTGGTTTAGGGCGAAACTACTTGTTCCGACAAACGTCCCTATCTCACAATGTTAGAGAATCTTTAAAAAAATTCCTGTATCTAGGTTATGATCTGGATCATCACCAAAATGTAATGAATTGTTCCCTGGTATGAGGGACACCTCTGATATTAATATCCTTTACAAACACAGACAAACTCTCCTAAAAACATAATCTCCTTAGTGGAGGTAATACAGTTCATATAATGGAAGTCTGTCCTCTGGCCTCTGGCCTCTGGACATACAAGTAGTGAAGTGTTAAGAGTTCTCCCTTAACATTAGAGACAAATCAGGTCCTACAGATACAACTCTTCATACATCACTTTTTATGATGTTATGACATTTAAAACCCTTGAATGGTAATGGGGTGTACTTATTTGTATGATGTTTATGAAGAACCAGGCAATGGAGCCATTCAAAGCTGCTCAAGACAACTGCGCCAAGCAGCTACCTCTTTGGCCCGCAGTCAAACAGCTGTAAAACGGTACATGGTTTGTATCAAGTGGGTCATCTGGACTAGTTTAAAACCTTTAAAAGTAAAATTGTTGTGTTTTTGTTTTGATATGACACCTTAGCATTGCAGGTGCAGGTGAAGTGAAGGTAAACTGCTGTTTGTTCACAGCAGGGTCTGCATCCGGACAATAAATTCACACACTGAAATAACCAAATATGCATAGTCCCAAATGTCATCCTGTTGCAGCTGTCAGTGCCACTTGTGCAGATGGAGACACTCAGGGGGTAAGAACAATGGAAGTCTATTAGGAGGAGGCTATCTCAATAAGCATAGCACAGCATGAGGCTCATTGCTGCCACTTCCAATGTCCCCAATAATCATATGGGCAATTAAACTAAAATGAGCTTCCCTTGACCCATAAATGATGAGCTTATATTATGTGCTGATTCTCAGAGGGCCACTGGTCATGAGGTATTCCCGAATATGATTATCAAGATTCTCATTCTCTCTCTAAAGGAGCTTGGTTACACATTTTAAAACATTAATTTATCTTTTATTGCTCAGGCTTCTGTTTTTTCTGACTTTTTTGCCAAACTTTGTATCCTGCCTACTTACTTCACACAAAAAATATGATTTTTGAAAACTATTTCAGTTGCATTACAATACTTGCTTGTTTTATATTTTTTTGTTTATGTATTATGTAATATCCAAAATACCAAGACAATATTATATACTGATGGAGATTAATGATATAAAGCATTACTACTCCTCCCAATAAATTACTTTAGGCCATAAAATATGATTGTGGCACCTGTTGAAGAACTATTTTATTGATGCTGCTGGAAAAAAAATCCAAATATGAACCAAAGAGGCAGAGTTTTGATAATGCAGCATCAGAGACAGGACCAGAAGCACACACCCATCCAAGATGGATTCCTGGGATCAATGCAAAGAAAAGTAAACCTTTAAAAGCAATAATTCCAAAATTGCAATTTCTATGATGATTTTACAGGAAAGCAAAGCTGTAATATTGTATTTAGGACACTAGAGGGTGTGCAGCAGTTCCTGTACGAGTTGTTACCTAATACCAGACACAGGGTGTGACTGGTTTGTTTTATCTCCATTTAATTTTTGTGTGAAATTGGATTAGTACATTTAATACATTTGTTTAAGTCTATCTCACAACCCCATTTTTACAAACATTACTAGCTGCAGCTAGGAAGAAAACACAATTCCCTCTAGGGGCGGGTT